TACAAACAACATTTGTATAGTCATCATCAAGAATATTTGACAAAGAAGGATTTGTCTTTACATACCGATCCATGGAGCCGGCAAACGATTGTATAACCAAATCTCTCCTCACCTTATTTTTTCTCTTTGTACTTCCCGACTCAAATTTCCGCTTTCCGGTCATACTTAAGACGAAACTATTGACAAAATTTACAAAATCATAACAATCACAAACACATTAATTAATTAACAGAAACTCCTAAAACATCTATTCTAATAAATACAATAAAAAATTAAACAAAATAACTATGTACTATTCAAGTGGTCAAGTCCCCATTACTTTCTCAATTCTTCGAAATTCCCAAATACATATAACATACTCTGTACTATCGTATCTACATTATTGTGAATTGAATTATTACTCCAGTTGTCCAGCACTTTTGCAGTTTTGCTAACCGAGATGAGAGATTGAATAGAAGTATAAAAGTATAAAACAACTCTTCTGATTTCTGAACCACAATTCCACAAAGGCACAAATTCACAAAATTTAGAATTTTAGAGCTTTAGAGAAAGGACAAAGACTCACAGGATGACAGGATCCTTCTCTTCGGTGGACTGCCGGACGCCTAATCGCCTATGAATCGCACTATCGCGGAATCGACAATCAGCAGATTCTTCTTTTCGGCGGAATGGATGAAGGATTCGGGATTGAAGGGCTGATGCTAGGGAATAGGGATTGCTTGGTTCACTTGGCGCTTGGCTTGCCTTCACCGCTTCAGTGGCTTCACGCTTGGAGGCTTGGAGTCGCTGAGCCGGTCGAGTATTATTGCTCCCTTATAATAATGTATTATCTTGGGACTTATGTGTAATTTTCATAATTATGTTTTATTATAAATATAAGCATATGGCACCCAATAGGGTAAGCCATTACTTCCCAATTCAAACAGGCTCCTCGGGCCTGGTTTCATAGATTTAGTGGTTTTCTTTTGAGTAATGGTTTTTCTCAAAGTAAGTCAGACTCGTCCATGTTCATTTATCGTTCACAATCGCAGATTGTCTTTTTATATGTGGATGATATTATCATTACAGGCTCGTCTGAATCGTTTGTTCAGTCAGTCATACATACTCTTTTTCTTCAGTTTGCTATGAAGGATCTTGGTGACCTTCATTACTTCCTGGGCATACAGGCCCGTCGCACATCTCATGGATTATTTTTGTCACAGACTAAATATATTTCTGACCTGTTACAAAGGTTTCACCTTCATACCGTTAAACCGGTACGCACTCCACTTCCCTCTCGCACTACACTCTCTCTCACAGATGGAGAACTCTTAGCTGATGCGACTGAGTATCGCAGTATGGTAGGTGCACTTCAGTACTTAATTATAACTAGACCTGACATTACATATGCTGTTCATCTGGTATCTCAGTTTATGCATGCTCCACGTACTTCTCATCATTTAGCTGTCAAGAGAATTTACAGATATTTGCAGGGTACATCGAGTCATGGATTATGGCTTAGGTCTGACCGCAACACATCTGTCATTATAGCATATTCTGATGCAGACTGGGCCGGTTGTCCAGACAGTTCTCGCTCTACCACCGGATATGCAGTTTTTCTGGGACCTAATTTAATTTCCTGGCGGTCCAAGAAACAACCCACTGTTTCTAAGTCATCTACTGAGGCTGAGTACAGGGCCATAGCTTATACGGTACAAGACACTCTATTTGTCCGCTCCCTTCTTGCAAATATGGGTATTCAGATCTCGGCCCCTGTTCAGTTATATTGTGATAACGTCTCTGCTTCCTACTTGGCTGTCAATCCTATCCAGCACGATCGCAGCAAGCACATTAAAATTGATTATCATTTCGTTCGAGAGAGAGTTGCTCACGGGGATCTTGTGGTGAAATACATTCCCACGCAATTACAGCTCGCTGATATATTTACAAAGAATTTATCTAGTCAGCGTTTTGAGTTTTTACGTTCCAATCTGCACGTGATTTCCCCTGCACAGATTGAGGGGGTGTAATAATGTATTATCTTGGGACTTATGTGTAATTTTCCTAATTACGTTTTATTATAAATATAAGCATATGGCACCCAATAGGGTAAGCCATTACTTCCCAATTCTATTGTTTTGTATACCTTAGACCGTAGACTAACTAATTAATTATTAGTATATACATAATAATAGACTAATACTAATACTAATAGTTTTTTTAGGTCCCTTTGGAAAGTGAGGCCCAAGGCATTTGCCTGGCCCAACTCCCAACAGAGATGCCCCTGTCCATGATTTGCCTAGTAAAAGGCTCAGGAATTCGCACGCCATGCTCAAGGCCTGATCTTCCTTCTATCTCCCTTCTGAGCTCGTCTAACCTTCTCCTGAGGTCGGCATTATTATGGTCGACTTGAGGGCGCACTGGAGACCGACGATCTCTTCGGGCTTGCTTATTCGCGTTGATCTCGTTCCTGAGATCTCCCCTTCGCGTACTTCGGCGATGGGACGAAACGGAAACCGAAGATGCCCCCTCACTGTGCTCAACCCTAGAGGAGAGTCTATCATGAACAGAAATCATTTGCTCACTTATCCGGTTTGCCACCAGAATCCTGGGAGTTGCCCTGGATCGGTGGGAGCGCTGAGATTGGGCTGGTGGAGAATTCCTCGTGCGCAGGAGAGAGTTCTCTTCTCCTCACGGAGCCACAGATGGAGCCCGGCGAGGGGAAGGAGGTCTCCTAGTAGGATTTGGAATGATACCTTGGAATGCAGTTGTCACAGTCTCCACCGCCCTCTGAAACGTGGCCAAACTCACCAAAGCCTGTGTGGGATCCATGGCGGGGATGTTATGCCCAGTACCCGGCGTCTAGAACTGCGGTGGACGCACCGTCGGGTCCCTAGGATTCCCCACACCACGAATCTGGTTCCTTAAATCGCCTTGCGTGGCGGCGTTGTCGTTGCGCCTCCTAAAATCGCTCCTTCGGGACCTTGACCCTTCGTCTTCGATCATGACATGATTGAAACGATCTCCGCCTTGATTGCTACCAACGCGATTATGGCTATTCGATCCAACCATCGCTGCTTCGTATACTCGGCTCTCAACGAGAGCACCAAATGATGGAATTAAATCCAACTACGAGAGCTAAATACACATAGATATGAGAATAATATGGCAGCGTAAGGCAGTTTTACTCTTTATTCCGGAGAACTAGCAATAGTCTAGCCTCGGTTCAGAATTTTATCGGGGGTCCGATCCCTTTGATAGGGTGTTTACATCAAGTATTTATAGAGATTAGAAGGTAGAATTATGGGAGGAATCTAATACAATAAATGCTCAATTAATGAACTATATTCTTGCTTGAAATAGAACTCTTCGATCTTGATCCCCACACGATTACCTTCTCCTTTTAGTCACCGTCCTCCGGATGAGTCCTGCCTGTTGCCAAATATCTATCACCGAGTAATAGATCGCCACCTAAGCCCTAGGAATATCCCAGCCTCACTAGAACTCCGCCCAGGCTCGAGGTCTGCTGTCCAGCCCGACCTGGCTGTGGGTTCCTATCGTGGGCCTAATTCCTAATGGGTTAAGCGGCTTTTAATCATGAATCCCGTTTATGGGCTGATCCTGTTATTAGGTTGATCCCGTTAAGGGTTGATCCCGTTTATGGGCTAATCCTATAATTAGGCTGATCGCGTTAAGGGCTGATCCCGTTTATGGGCTAATCCTGTAATTAGGCTGATCCCGTTTATGGGCTGGACTACGTAATTGGGCCATGGTCTGAATCCATGGTACCATCACATTTAAACCAATACTCCGTACTTCATAGTGAAAAGGGTTTGGGGCAGTTCGGGCTGGTTCGGTTTGAACAAATTTAACCTCAGTTTATAATAAGTCAATTTAAATCGATTAATATTTAGGTGTCGACTTTCAACTTGCAATAAGTCAGTTTGATTTCAGTTCGATTTTTCCAATATGGTTCGATTTTCACCTTGATGTTATATATTTGTCCACATGGACCGATCAGACTGTTACAGTTGAATTATTTAGATATAAATAAAAAATGATACAATGGTTTGGACCAATCAAGTGAATGGTAAGTATGCTCCCATTTTTTAAGTGAGTAGGAGAGCTCTCACCTAAAAGCAAAACAAAATAAAGAACTCGTTTGGTGATCGACCAACTTTTTCTCCAAACACGTAAGTTTTGATTTTACGCGTTTAATTGTGTAATAATAAGAAAGAGTAAGGTTAAAGACTTAGAGTTACTTTTATGGTTGTATTGGCTGAAATTACTATTGAGGGTCATTTTGACTATATTTTATATAATTTTTTCTGTATTTTATTAATAAAATATATTTGAATTTTTTTTTTCATAAACTAGCTGAATAAGTCAATCCAACCACTTCACTTTGAACTTCATAAATTTCAACAGAACCAATCAATATAACTGATTTGGATATAAGGGCTCAAAATCGAGTGAATTTATGAAACCCCATATGACTCCCTTATAGAGTCATATGAGGTATTGTGGCACTATCATCACCATTCATTTATTTAGTGGAGGACCCCATAAAATAAATGAATGGTAATTGTGGTGCCACACTCCATAAGGGAGTCATATGGGCTCTTTAAAATTTTTGCCTCAAAATCTCTCTTCATGCTAATTTGCCCCGACTAAAAGAACCCAAGAATCCACAACAACGCTAGTAAATGGCTCTGGTTTAGGCTCTGTTTGCAATCGCTTCTGCTTTTAAAAAATGCTTTTTTAATGAAATGGGGAGAAGTGATTAAATAAAAGTTGATAGTGTCTAAGAAAAAAATGATTTTGAAAAGTAAAAGTGGGTAGTGTTTGGTAAAATAAGTGTTTTTTGTGTAATAGAAAAAGTAAAAGCACTTTTGACGCGGAAGCCGAGAAAAATAAAAGTTGTATTGTTTGGGAAAAGCAGTCCCAAACCAACCATTAGTCCATTAGTATTGTAAGAGCTTGACCAAGGTCAACGTGACGATTGAGCAGCGGGAACTGCGGGATATTGCATGCATATGTTTTACTCTGTTTCAGAGCATTTCCGGCGAGGGCAAACTATGTATAAATATCGCCGATGTGAACCGTATTATTCCACTTTGGCGTTTCAGAGTGAAGCTTTGCAGCAGCTTCACTCACTTTCTGTTCTTGTTCCAACCCTAAGCCGGTCGTTCTGCATTTCCGGTTAATGTCGCGTATCATCTTCAACCTTTTAACAATCTGTTACTGATTCAGCTTCGTCTCTAAGATGTTCTGAATCTGAGCTCGTTCGGTTCTCTGTTTGCAGATTTTGTTTCTGCGAAATCAAGCTCACATTGCCCGACATTGGTAATACCGCTCCTACTTTCAACCTCTTCTATGTCGTTCTTAAATAATGCTCACCGTTGTGCTTAGATATGGTCAATGTACCTTTCTTAGGGCATCGATATAATTAATCTTGTGAATTTCTACTGATTTCAGTTCTAAAGGCTTTTCCTTTTCTCGCATAGATTCAGTTGTTTTCGTATACTCTCTTGCTGCAGATCCAGGAAAGTATAATTTGAGAGGTGGACGTTTGCGATTCAGATTTCTAATGAATTTAATCATTCAATTTTTTACTGCAATTATTATCTCCATATGATTGCAGAAAAGCATTCATGGAAAATCTGTACAGCGGTCACAATGAACCAAAAACTCCGACAGTCAAGTATTTCGACGGCAATGTGATGCCGATAGGTATAGGCCGCTCCCGGTTTGACGTTCCGGTACCATTGAGTCCAGTTTTCGACCCCTACTTCTCGTCTGAAAGCCCTAACACACCGAATTCGATGTCTCCGTTCTACCGCCGGTCCGGCTCGTGTGTGCCGTTTGACCTAAGCGTTGGAAACGACGGCGGTGGCAGAGCAGGCGGATTTCGTTCGCCGCTGGCTTCGATTGAGAACCTGGTGACGCAGCCGTCGCGGTCACCGGTGACGATGTTCAAGACTCCGGTGAAAATCGAGGAGGACGTGATTGTCATGGACGGCATTCTCGTTAAACCGAAGGGCGGTAGTACCAGATCCAGGATGTCGCAGACGCCATCAGATTCCGGTGATAAGAACAGCTTCTATAAGAGGGACAAGTGTTTGTTCTGGGAGGACTCTGGTTCTTGCCGCTTAGGTCCAAAATGCCAGGTTCATCTCTTGCCTTTCTTTGTGCGAATTTGACTTCAGGCCTTTGTATGTTTTAGTCATCTTGATCGCCACATTAAACTTCTGGTATTGAAATTTATCTAAAAAAAATCAACAGTTTGCGCATGGCCAGGAAGAATTGCGTCCAGCTCGTCTCACCACTAAAAGTAATAAATCTGAGGTGCTGAAGGAAATTACTGAATTCTTTCATTTTTACAATTGTGAAATTTCAAGATTCTAGAACAGTAGAACCTGTAATTGTATTTATCTGCGTATCAAATCCATGACAGATCTGCAAGTCATTCAACCTGGGAGCATGTTCATATGGCATCAAGTGCAGATATTTTCATCTTCAAGAGCCAGATAAGGAACCAGAGAAGGAGTCTGAAAAGGAGCCAGAGAAGGAGGTCATACCAGCAGTTCTATCCCCTGCAGCTGAAGCTAAAGTGGGCATCCCTATCACACCTACTGAATCCAAAGCACCAGCTAGTGGAGGGCAAAGCAGCACCTTTACAACTGGTTCTTCTGCTGCACAAACTTCTGGAGGGCAAAGCAGCACCTTTACAACTGGTTCTTCTGCTGCACAAACTTCTGGAGGGCAAAGCAGCACCCTTACAACTGGTTCTTCTGCTGCACAAACTTCTGGAGGGCAAAGCAGCACCTTTACAACTGGTTCTTCTGCTGCACAAACTTCTGGAGGGCAAAGCAGCACCTTTACCACTGGTTCTTCTGCTGCACAAACATCTGGAGGGCAAAGCAGCACCTTTACAACTGGTTCTTCTGCTGCACAAACTTCTGGATACACTGGCTGGTCTCCACATGATGATGGTATCAATATCTCCTTGCCTGCAAAAGCTCCAATAGAGGAAGATGTTGATGCTTATATTCAGCGTGTTCTCTATGGCCCTTCTGGTAAAAGATTGCCTGTTTTTGAGAAGATTTGCCTGGAGTAAGGAGATCTGTCCTCATCCTATCCTACATACTACAGGTAGTTCCTCTCTGCTGCACCAATTAACCACAATAAACGAGGAAAAGGCACACAATTTTTTGCTAACAAACTGAAAGCTCATTATTCCCAAGAAGGTGAACACTATTTTTTGTCAAATTCAATGTGCATTATCTGTCTATATGAAATTTTGATTGATCTGGTATACATACAACCAGAAAATAATGCTGTAAAATAAAGTTCATCTGCGTGATAAATGCATGTACAGTGGAATTTTAATCTGTTTCACCTTGAAGCACTTTGTATGGTTGTGATCTTGATCTTTGAAGAACCTATTCATGTAATTGCTTATTTCCAGACTACTTAGCAGAAATAGGAATAATCAAGTTAAAGTTATAACAAAAAAGATCATATGAACAAAGGGCATTCCAAGTTCATCTGTTTGGTAGAAAGGAATGAAATTGCTGAGAATATTTATTATGTTGTTAGTAAGCTTCCGTAGGGAGGCACAAAGAACCAATGATGAGGTTTAAGTAAAAAATGTCATGTGGGTCATGAGAATAACAGTGTCCCATTGTGTCTTAGCTTATTGATCCATCTGGTATTCTGGTGTGGAAAAGATAATATCAAGGGGCTTAGAATTGTTTTTTTGCGGCAGTGGAGATATATATTCCAAGTAAAAGTTTTTCTTATACCAAACTTTGCAAATTTCTCCAATTGGAATTGCATGTGTACCAAAATGTACTTTGTGTGAGACTCAAATCGAGGTTCTGCAAATTGTTTATTTACTGGTGCCACAAGAAGGTGATCCACACCTAATTTAATGTTTCAAATGGTGGATCATCAGATCCTTGTCATATATGAGAAGAGAATATCCTACCATTTTTGCAACTAGCAATGAGCATTATAAGCCCGTTTTGTAAGGATTAGTTTGGTTTAAAGGATACAGCTAAACGTATTGAATTAGTGAGAAAAATACTTCAAAGTTCAAACGAGTTTTCTTAAACATAAAAAAAAATCACCGAATTTTTAGTGCAACATGAAGTTTTTTTTTTTGCAACATACTCAAATTCCACGGTTGAGATTCAAAAGCTTTTTTTACTGCAGCATTTCTCATCTACAGGCTTCTTTTTATTTTTGATCAAAAAAATCTTGTCAAATGTTTTCCGAAGGTGTTCCTATAAGTTTTATGAAACTGTTTTTAAGTGTCCTCACTAGTCACTAAAGCAGTGAAGAGTTATCTTTCAAATTGAGTTTTGATCGTGAATTATCTTTCAAATTGAGTTTTGATCGTGAATTAAGAAAGCGAGAATTTGTGTAGTGAAGAGTTATGTGGAGGAGAGACGAATGTCTAAAAATGTTTAAGAAATGTTATGAATCACAAATTTTTTGCCTAAAAGGGAAAGATGAGATTATTTTGTGATGGACGGAAAAAGAAAGTTGGAACATAATTCAGAGAAGGGGAGTATCATAATAATTCATGTACTTGTGTGTGTATTCCAAGTATGTATTAAGATAAGTTAACTTGTAGAGAGTGGCATATTTCATTTATATTTTAATGTACCCTCTCCATCTCGTATAATTTTACCAAAGTTAAGAGACATGTGAAATAATTAAATAAATAAACTATAAGGAAATGGGGCAACTAAAAAGAAAAAAGTTGTCAAAATTATAAGGAACGAAGGGTGTATTATATTTTGTTACACACAGGGTTATTGTGGGGGGCGTAGCTCACTTGATAGCAAGAGGGTGCCACAGCCCACAAGGGATAGGTCATGGGTTCAACTCCGATCCAAGCAAAGACGTGGGATGAAACTTCAATCTCTTTTCATCAGTGGGTGATAAAAGCTCAATTTACATCTTCCCAGATAACTGTCCGATCAGTTTTGTGGGACCGCCAGGGATGGGGTGTCATCCTTTTTTACACACGGGATTGATGATTTTATTTGTACAGAATTTAGTCAGGTCATAGTAAATCAAACTTGACGAGATTTAAATCTATTAGATCATATCATATCACATTTAAATAAACTATATCAGATCATACTAAATTTCAATATACTAGAAGAGATGGGCCAAGACTCTAATTAACTTGGTGGTTTCGTTGAACTAATGAAGCCTGAAATGCTAAAATTAGGAGTGATTCAAGTGATTCACTTCTCGCACTTGCGACGCTCGCATCATGGGAGGTTTTGAGTTTGTGTCACCAAGGAGGTGAATTTGAGAGGGTTTACTCAAATTATGATTATCTAGCTTCTCAAGGCTAGCTTGAGTGATCACGAAATTAAGATTTTGTCTCATTTAAGTGACGAATTACCTTTAACTGATTGATTGCATGTGTTCTAAGATTTCGAGTTCAACATTCAAGAGAACCGCCAATGATTGGTCAAATTGAGTTGCGTTCTTGGAAGCTCAAGACTAAAATTGAAATACTAAAATTGAAGCCGCTAACGTAAGTGTTTTTTAGTTTTTACCTTGTTTTTTACTTCTTATTTTCAACTTATAAATCTTATGAATCATTACTAAATTGGAACTTTTGATTTCTTATGCTAAATTGTGTAATAATAATAAACACTTAGCACATGTTTACTAACAAAGAAATTTTCCAGTTTTCTTTTCTCTTCCCCGTTCTTCAATTTTCTGTTTCCATTTTCCAATTTTTCTATTTCTAATTTTCTGTTTCCATTTTCTAGTTTTCTATTTTCAAATCTGAAAACATGTTCATCAATTTTTTTCACCCGATTTTGTGATCGATCGGAAGACCAATAGTACGATCTGGTCCAGAACCAAACCTAGTACATCCCAAGTAGGGTAATTGGTCCAGCGTATAGGAAAGTTGGTACCGAAACTGGTTGGTCTTGATTGGTCCCAACGACTAGTTTGACTAAGGGGGTGTTTGCAACTACTTAAAAAAGCACTTTTGGAGATGTAAGGAAAAAATGATTAGTAGTAAAAGTTGATAGTGTTAAAGAAAAAAGTGATTTTGAAAAGTAAAAGTTGGTAGTGTTTGGTAAAATAAGTGTTTTTTGTGTAATAGAAAAGGGAAAAGTACTTTTCACACGCAAGTCGAGAAAAAGTAAAAATTGATAGTATTTGGTAAATAAGTGTTTTTTTAAGTCAAAGCTGAGAAGTGCTTTTTTAAGTTGTTGCAAACACTTCCTAATTCTTTTCCATTTTCCCTATTGGTTGGTAACTCAATAACTCTTTTGAAACTCTTCACTTTACAAAATAATTTAAAAAATGTGGACAGAATCATCAGATCATCGACCAGACTGGACAGGGACCGCTGGATCGTTGACAGGACCGGTCCGGAACCCGCCCATTCATCCACGGGACCGAATAGAGATCGTCGAGTTGTTGACTGGACAAGACGGAGACCGCCAATTCATTGACTAGACCGGATAGAAACCGCCAGGTCGTTGATCGGACAGAGACCGTCGAGTCATTGACCGGACCGGATCGAACCGGGACTACTCGTCCGTCGATCGGACCGGAGAGGCAGTGCATAGTCATTGATTGGATCGGACAGGGACCGTTAGGACGCCGACCAGACAGGACATGGAACGCCTGATCATTGACTGGGCTGGACAAGGACCACCGGGTCGTTGACGGTTGACCTAACCAAATAGGGATCGTCGGATCGTTAATCGGACCGAACTGGGATTGCGGTGTCTTTGACCAAACCGGATCTGGACTGCCTAGACGTCAACCGGACTGGACAGGTACTACCGCATCATTGAACGGACCAAATAGGAACCATTGGGTCATTGACCGAACAGGACAGTGACCGTCAGGTCATTGACCAGACTGGACCGCTTGGTCGTTGACCAGACCGGAGCTAACATCGGAGCAGGACTAAATACACCATTAGGCATAAGTATGCAATTCATTGTAACGGCACTGCAGCATCCGCTTTTTTTGAAATTTGGAAAACTAGTAAAACTCATTTCTCTAATTCATTAAGAAAATCATAGACATCTCATTTTTTTTTATTTTAGAAAACAGTTTGATAAACACATTTTTTGTGTTCCTTTCTCCAGTTTTTCAGAATTTTTTCGATAAACATGTTTTCTGTTTTTCTTTTTTCAAGTTTTAAAACTGGAAAATATCTCTTTTAATAAACAAACTCTTAACCTTTCTACTAGCTAAATTGGTTGAAGTTACTGTACCAAGCTATTTTAACTATTTTAAAAAAAAATTTCTTTTTTATTAATAAAATATACTATCGGCAATTAAATAAATTTTATTGAATTATATTTTAAATATAATGTTTCCAAAATTCAATAGACTCGGTCAATTCAACCGCTTCAATCAGAACTTCAATAGATTAAGCCACTTCAATTAGAACTTGATCGACTTGAACAGATTCAACCAGATTCAACCGATTCACCTAATTTAACTATTACATTGTTA